CCTGGCTCCTCCTTCTTGCCCTTTTGGAAGACTGGCGTGACATTGGCTTTCTTCCAATCCTCAGGCACCTCTCCTGTTCTCCAGGACCTTTCCAAGATGATGGAGAGTGGCCTAGCAATGACATCTGCCAGCTCCCTCAGCACTCGTGGGTGCATCCCATTGGGGCCCATGGATCTGTGGATGTCATGTTTGCACAAATGATCTCTAGCCCAAGCCTCCTCAACCAAGGGAGAGTCTGCCTTTCTCCAGACTTTCTCTCTTGTCTCCAGGGTCTGGGATTCCTGAGGGCTGGCCTTAGCAGTAAAGACTGAAGCAAAGGAGGCGTTCAGCAACTCTGTCTTTTCTGTATCCTTCGTTATCAGGGCACCCGCCCCATTCAGCAGCAGGCCCACATTTTCCCTAGTCTTCCTTTTGCTGTTGATATATTTGAAGAAGCCTGACATGCTTATGACAGGGTTGCCTATATTCCTAGGATAACATTTAAAATACTAGACCTCATTATACCTGAACTTCAAAAAGTTTCCTCCATCACAGATGAAGTAATAATAAAGCTCAGTCCCCTAAGATACAGGTATTGGGAGACTGTCAAAACATCAGGGAGAAGGAAAGGTCCCTATAAAATTACCCATCGGAGTTATATTTAATTTATGTAGACGTTTACTGATGTTTTATTGAGTGTAGAACTCACTGTCTTGTTAACTCCCATATTGGCTACAACTCAAAACACCACCTTTTTGGCAGTTTCACTGCCAAGTTCAATCTATTTCAAAAACAGGCACCAAAAGATTGTGCCTCTTCTCACTCTGCCTCCAGTACTGCACTGCAAATCTCACTCCTCATCTCCTGCTGCAACTCAGAGCAGCTCTGCACCACCTATTTACATAAGGCTTTAAGCCTGTAACATTTACCTTCATTCATGAAGAAGATAATCTGATAACTTCACTTGCAAAAATAAATCTCCTATCACAATCAAGCTGGCTGGCATGAATTAACCCCACAATCCTCGCGTGCGAGTTCATTCAGAACGAAAAAGTAGCAACTGCCCTTGCGCACCTCAGTGGAAGGGAGGACTCAGTGCTTTGGTGCTTCTGTGCAAGGTCTGTTTACTTAAGCATCTCCTAAACTTCTGGGATGCATTTATCAGTCTTCTGAAATAGAGATAATCACATAAATACTAATCAGTTATAAGTGGATATTTATCCTCAGAAGAAATATTTATAACCTTTAACAAAAAAAATCCTTTTAGACTTTACTACACAACAGCGATTCTCTTTTATAGTCTGTCTTACATAATAAAACACGATTTCAGAAATTTTTAGCAAGGTTCTGTCATTCTCCACGGAATCAGTCATGCCTTCAAGCAATTTCTACAGAAGTTCATTAGTTTATTCACTATTGAATTCTAGAGATTGCTCCTTTTTTTCTTTTTTCTTTTTGGTTAATGTGTTCCCTAGTATTAGCGATATCAAGCAAAACACAGCAGAAACCATGAAGCTGATCTGATTAATCTTAGGTTAACCATACCCTCATTTGCTTTTCTGATTACAAACACTAAATATATGCAAGTCTACACATTGTTTTAGCTTTTACGCAGTGTAATTACCACACAGAATCGTTAAACAATGTAAAATTATAGTGTCACCAACACTGGCCTAAGCTGATAAAACATTTTTTGATTTGACAGTATAATTATTGCTTGCATCTTCCTACTTCAGGAAATGTGGCTTTTCTAAAAAGCTTTAAAAATCCTTGTTAGCTGTGGTCACGCTGAAGTCAGCAGTGAAACACCATTAAGTTTAGCGTATGGAGGACCGGGTCCAAGACGCTATGCACAAAGGCCACCTTTACTATTGTTTGTACCAGCATTCACAGCATGTGGCACTTTGAAAAGATCAAAAATAAAAAGCATCTTCCCAAATGAAAAATCCTAAAAAGTGAGGAGTGTATTTGCTTTTTGTACAGTACTTCTTTCATTGAAATATACGTAAGTAATGAATTAAGTAATGTTTAAAAAAAATTGTTTTAGTCTACTTCATGATACTCTTCATTTACACTTTCTGTATCCCACTAACAATTTTGTAAAAATATCGTAATGTGCAGTTTTTTCCTGTCTCTAAGTGTGCCTATAACACAAGGTAACCAACAGCCTCTACTTTAACTACAAAACATTTTTAATTTTATAATCTGCATTATAAATTTCACACCAAATAACTGCAGATCTTTCATTATCACAAAACTACACAATCAAGGTTACCTTTACAAATCTTTAAAAGGCTGTTCTGGCCTTCAGCTACTGCAATCAAATTCTTCAGATATTGCAATTTTTGTGCTGAAAAGGTTTACAGTATTTTTCCTTTTAGTTTATTGCCTCAAACCTTTTGGCTATGTGTGATTCCACCATACTGTTTTTGCACTTGGAAAGGTGAGAAATGTAGCTATTCCTCATCAGGGCCTACATCAGGAAGGTAATGCCAGACTACTGCTGACCAGCGCTGCTTAGCAGTCAGTAAAGAAAGACACAAGTTCAAACCACAAATCTATAATACAGATATAGAGCAACTCCCAACAGAACATTTTTTTTCCCCTTGCAATGATAAAATGCCTTTGCAGGAAAATACCTATAATATTGAATAAAGCCCTCCCAAAACCAAAGCCAACTCTTTGCATTAAATAAATGTTAAAACTGTAAAGACTACTAGTCCAAAAGTTAGGAAAAGCCAGAACGAAGGTTAGGCTTCTCCCCTGCCTCACACGCATGCAGTTTTGAATGGTATGAATGGGTAATTTTTTACCATTTCTTTTTATCCTTCTCATTCAGTATTTGGCCTCTGATGTTATTTAGTTTGCCCTACTGCAAATCCAACATGACATTCAAAATGATGAATTTTCCTCAGGGTGCTCTCACTATCCTATCTGAGTGCTTCCAGGGTATCCGAGAATTTATCTTCTCAACATCACTATGAGGATATTATTACTATTATTTTATAATGGAGAAATGAAGGTCACAGATGCCAAAAGTGTCCAATAATTTTGGCTACTCAAATTGAGATACTGGGTTTTTTTTCAGTCCTTAGCATTTTTGTCACATTTGATGGGTACGTCCCTGCGAGCAGATTAAAGATTGCCAGGGAACACACTTAGGCAGCGGCACTCAATTGCCTCTGCTATTAAATCGTTAGAGCGCTGCCCAGCATGGCCCAATTAGGACTCTCCCAAATAATTTGCAGGCACGGCTGGAGCATGAGCGTGCTTCACGGTGTGCTCCCAATAAGCAGTTTGCATGCAGCCATCTGCTGTGGAGTTTAACAGCACGGACAGAGGTCACGGCGCCAGCTGGCCCGAGCGGCAGCAAGTGACACCGACCACCTTCCAGGGACCTGCCGAGGTGGACCTGCATGTGCAGAGCATTGCTCCAAACCCACTCACTTCCAGTCAAGGGAATTCAGTATCTCCGAAAACCTAGCCCTGCACAGCTCACAGCCTGGTGCCCAAAATAAGGAGAATAATAATTGGTTAATATTTTCAAAAAGGTCGGTAAAAGTGAGTTGTCGAGTAATGGGCAGTAGCTCTGTAACAGAGGTACCCAACGGGAATCTGGTTCCCCAGGCATCCTGCACATGCTTTAGCCATAAACCTCCTTCTCAGTCTCTGCCATACGACCCGCGCTGCGGAAGGTGAGGGTGCTGCACTTCCTCAGCCCGCGTCCTCTCGGGAACACGTCCTCCCCGAGCACTTAAAGCATCAGGAAACCCCTGAGGAAAAACGTAGGCAGTACCTAAGGAAAGGCTATAATCATAAAGCTGCTGGGAAAAGGAGCAAATTTCCCTTGTTATAGCCTTTGAGAGATGGACTTTTTTGATCTTAACTATCCTCCCCAATTTTTGTCAGAAAAGAACCATTTGTCAAAACTTGTCAAGTTGCTTTCAATGGAAGATCAGATTAATTCATTTCCTGGTTTTGTTGACAAATGGAAAAAGTTTTCAGAACCGGCTGAAAGTCCTCCTTCAACATTTTTCAAATGAAATCTGGATTTTGAGGTCTAAATATATTGATAATAATTACAATTTTTAAAAGGATAAAAAAGATCTGGATGAAAATGAGACATTTTGAAATTAGTAAATAAAACATTTCGATCCATCCAATTCATTGTATTTTTTTCTGGTCTGCAAAATCTGAGATCAAAGTTTTATTCAGACTCTAAGCAAAAAGGAACGCTGAAATCCAGAAAATTCTGGGGAAATAACCATTGCTTTGAGTAGCTCTGCTATGAAAAATGACTTATTAACGTCTAACACAAATCAGATCTGCAGTATGCATATAATGCAGATGTGTAACACTTTCTGGAAAAACTAGCTTTAATTTTCTAAAAAGCCTTAAAAAGCCTGCGTCTCACCGAGACAGCCACCTCGGTGTCTGACTCCCATTACGTTTGTTTAGAGCCAGTAATCTGGGATAGAGCAAATTAGTGAAGAAAATATAGAGCAAGTTAGTTATGACAAACTAACATATTTCTACCGAGCACGTGCAAATAAATTTTAGAGCCTTATAAGCAGGCATATATGATTGTATTTTCTTGAGGATTCTGCTTTTTCCAACTTCTGCTTTGCTGTAATAGCTCTGCTAACACATCACAACTATCGAATTTCTGTTCTCTCCTTCCAAGTATGAAGAGCTGTAATTTCTTAATGAAACAGCTGTGGAATTTTTACTAATACTGTTCCCCTTAATTTCAATCCTCAAAAAAATAGCTGAACTGATTTAGCTACAACTCTGAAGAAAAACATCCCACTAGAATGAGGTATTTGTTATTTCCATTTCCCATCCTTACAAAAGTCACATCTTACACAGTTAAAATGTTGGCAGCTGTAAACAGCTAAAGGCTGAAAAGTGTCAGGAAACATGTGAACAGACAGTATTCCTAAGTACCATGTGTATTTCCCAGATACATGTCCAAATGCAGGAACGCACACAAGCAGGCACAGAAGAGAAAAAGCAGTTAAGCCCTGATTGTCTAAATTACCTTTGATAGCAGTGTCTGCACTTAGGCTTAAGCCCTCACAGCTGAATGGCTCAAACCACTTGAAGCTGTTTGGCCTGAAGGAGCAAAGCCAGAGTCCGAACCCACCTGCCCTGTGACAGGGTTTCCCTGTGCAAATAGGCTAGCTCATGCCAGACCACAAACCTGGTGAGAGCATCGCTGGTGGACAGAGAGGCAGTAAGGCAGCTTGGGGGGCAAGGGGAGATCCTTCCACAAGCTACAACAAAACTGTAGCTGTGGCCTTGTGTAATCTGCTTACAGCTACTGATGGGCTGACCTATGGATTGAAAGACTTCACTTCGAGAAAAATTCTGCAAAACCAGCTCTGGGACATTATTATGGCTAGTATAAAATGATAATTATTTCCATTTCGTAACTGATCTCACAGATGATTTATTTCTGATATCCAAACAATCACTGCCTGAAGTCTCAGAGATCTGCAGGGAACACTTGAGAAAGTAGGTCCTTTTTATAAACAAACCCTTCAAATCAGCTATATCAGTCTGTTTGCTAGTTCCATGTTCTCACCATCTTGAGCACAGAAGTGTCTCTTAGATGGATGTGCTGAACTTCACCAAGGAGCAGCACACTCAGAAGCTTTATACAATCCTTAACAACCTTGGGTAAGAGAAGACATACAGAAATACTTAAGGAGCCAGAAGACAATGAAAAGAGGGAGAGTATAACCGATAAAACGTTTGTAAAACTTTGCAATCACAAAAGCTTAGATGTTTTGACTCGTCTGAGTTTTCTAAATACCCCAATAGCACTCGCAATTACTCACTGAAACGTTCCTCCAGTAAAGCCTTGTAGGTGGGCCCTAGGCTCCACTGCAGGTGATGTGGACAACTTTAAATAAAAAGGTTGAACTCCCTTGAGAGCATTCAGTGTAATTTCACTGCGAGATCTGTATGGAATTTGGGCCTCAAGTGGCCTTTTTGAGTAGTACCTCATGGTAACTCTGAAGCTGAGAGATGGATTTGGAGCACCCTCTTATATGCTTAACTGAGGTCTCAAGAGCGTGATGACTAACTTGGCAGTCTATCATCCAGAGC